AAAATCAACCAATTCGAAAAGTAAAAGTATGACAACAAAATCTAAATTATATTTTTGAGTATGTTCTAATAAATGTACATCTACATAGCAGCTCAAGATGGTACAACCGAAGCGAACAATAGTAGTGCGTCGATTACGAAAAAGGTCAACAGCAACAGCAATAGCTCAGTGGAAACCACGAATGTGGTTAGTAGTACAACAAATGCGAGCAACGCAGCAACACCGGAGCAAACCACAGTTACCATCTCAAGCAACAGTGGCGGTGGTGGCAATGGCGGTAGTTCGAACAGTAATCGGCCGACAAGAAGTCGGAAATAGAAACTATAATTAGTTAGGAGAGAGAAATTGTAATTTATGAACAGTAGTGTTATAATGCAGTTATCGCATTCCCACAAAAGAGAATTAACAATTTCAATACGCTCGGAAAACACAGACACAGACACATACTCATACACGCAATAGCACAGCAGCTGCATGAAAAAAAAACATTTGTTTTTAATGCGAAATGATGGCATTTAAAAGAAATCCCTTTAAGGCATGGTGCAAGATGTCAATGCTATCTGTGACGTCGCTAATCTGACCATATAGCAAATCTAGCAATAAATTTAAACAGCAAAACGTTCGAACAAAGTGTACATTAGTTTTAGAATGTATGTAAAAAAAACAGATATAACAAAACGCAGACAGAACTTCAGATAGGACACAGAAGGGGCGTAGAATAGGTATATGCATAAATCGAAATGATGTTGATATATATTAATTTCATTTTTATTAAAAATTTTCTTCCATTAAATGCTATTTATTAGTAAGCAAATGTATTTTTGACACTGAAAAAAAAAACTTAGCAAAAACAATTGCTGGACTTGTTTGGCATTAAATCACTTTCTTTTTTGGATAATTACAAGTGTTTCGGCAAAATATAGTGTTAACCACGTTTTCAAAATGTATATTTCTAATGATTTTAGTTTTTTTTTTTTGTAGGAAATATATAATGTTTATATATTAGTTGTGTGTGTTTTTTCTTTTTTTTTTTACTTTTATGTATAAAGCCACAACAGCTAAGAAAAGCGTTTGGTATATAAAAAAGATAAAATTTCTTTAAATCAACACAATTCGCAATTGTAGGTTAGATTGACGTAGAGAAGAAAGCTATTGACCCAATAACATGCAATACGCATAGTTTGCAAACACATGTAAATAAATACTAATTCCACGTACTTCACACCACTGCTTTCGTTTTCGAATAATGCAAAAAAGGGAGGCGCACAAAGTTATTTACTGTACGAGCGTCTGAATTAAACCTCAAAAAGTGCAGCGTTTTTTGTTTGAAATTTGTTGAAGCTATTATGAGTTACAACAGAAAGTTTTAAATTTCGTTGTATTAAAAAATAATTTATGATTTAAGGTTAATCGCTTAAAAGAACAAATGCAAGTAAATAACAAACCCATAATATATCAAATATAAAAACTAAAACAAAAAATACCAATATGAGCATAGTTGCGTTGCTAATCAAGGGGAAACACTGTTAGTATGTTGAGGCAATATTTATACGGCGATTTAATATCAAAAAAAAAACTTTAAATTAATGCAGGGACGAAATCAATAGTTATTTGTGTATGATAAAAGTACTCATTCCCATTCAAAAAATTGCACACATTTAAACATAATTATGTAAATCGCACATATGTAAATCAGAGATAGAAAAAATGTATATTACATTTTACTTCGGTTCGGGTGCAAATTATTATTGACTCGAAAAATTGAGTAGGAGTGGTATAAAGTGTGAAGCAAGCGTGTAGCTGTTAAATAAACTGTATAGAAAACAGTTTAGCTAAAAACATGAAGCATGAATTAAAATTACATATTAAACTAGCCATTCAAATATCATCAAAATATATTGTAGATTGTAATGTTTTCGAAATATATATATACTTATATGTAGTTCATACAACAATGCACCTAAAATTTGTATGATAAAAATGGCTAAGAGGACAAAATAATTAATTTTAATGCAAATTGATTTACAAAGCAAAAGGATAAGAGAAAGGAATTTTTGACGTGTTGAAAAATGCATTTCTTTTGTAAGAAATTTATGCTAATATGCAGAAAATAAAAATAGGAAAAATATTAAACAAAATATAGATACTTAAACATAAGTGAAACATATACATATGCATAAGGAATAAAATATTTTTCCTTTTTAATTATTAGCAGTGCAGACACGCCCATGTAAGTTTCATTAAACTAGGTTTTAGCATACAAAGTTTCAAACGTATACATATAAAATATTAAAAAGCGAACAATTTAATATACATATTTGGGGCAACTCGTAACAAAACAAATGCAAAAAAATAAAAATACATAATAGTATGTAGACACACACACATAAAGTTGACATAAATGCCGTTAGCAACCCCAAATATATATATATAATAATAACATACGTTATGTGGCAGATAAATCTACAAACACTTTATGCAAATAGAACAAAAATTATAAAAATATAAAGATAAAATTGTCCAAACCCCACTAAATTTACTGTAAAATTACATAATTTCACAGGTAGCATTGCATTTTAGATGCTTCCAAGTAAAAAAAAAACAGACGGAAGCTAACAAAAAAATCAGTTGAGAGGTGCTTGGGAAATTAACATCGGTAATAAACAACATGTTGTTGCAGCGGCAGAATTCTGTCGGGTTGATAGTCCTTAGCGGAATGAACAATCAGGGTCCGTTCCGGTTTCGTCGACCTGACTGCCATGGGACGTCTAATAATCAACATATGGTGCACGGTAGTTGGCAGAGGACAAAATGTTTTGAAGTGAGGAAGTAAATGTCAATGAAATATGCACTTATGTGATGTTGGCCTTGGTAGGACATCATATGCATCGGCCTCTTCTAACATGCTTCTCTTATAAAAAAAAATTCAAAAAATAAACAGACTAGCCGTATAATTATTTACAAAAGGCTAAAACGAGCAAACATTTTATAAGAGCATGCATCTAAAATGAAAATGAAAAAAAAAAAAATAGTGTGCGATACGTTCAATTATGTATACATGGAAAAGCAACGTATTTCGCCTGAAAATAAAAAATCCTACTCCTCTTGGTTTTAGTGTTTTTTCGTTTTAAGAATATCCAAAACAAATACACAACTATGAATAAATTAATTAAAAGAGCAAAATACATAATTCTTAAAAAAAAAGTATAATACAATTAAAATTATTAAAAAAATATATGCATACAATTTAATTTACTATTTAAGTTTAATATATAGGTAACTAAAACAGAAAGGAATAAAATTCATTTTGAAATTCAATAAAAAAAATAATAAAAAGTCTTTTGTTTTACTAGGGGATTTGGTGGTTGTTTAGAGCTTGAATAAACGTTTAGAAGCAGCTTCAAATCAAAATATTCTAGCTGCTAATCTAATCGGCTACGTGCGAAAAATTGTATTCTTACCAAGCCATATAAAGAAACACATCTCAGCAATATATCTAACACTTTTCACCTTACAATTCTATCGAAACAGCTCTTTTACTGAACCTATCGTTATGGTGATGAATTCCTTATGTTTTACAATTATGAAGCCAATTATTTGGTCCAATTTTTTTGCTATTCAACATAGCATGCAATCGAATAAAGAAAATACATATCACACCTATCACTTCATCTCATAAACACCAAATAGAGTTCTTTTTTTTTGTAATTTTCAACAAATAAATCCAAAACGGACTTGGATTTTCATCCGGATAATTATTGTCAGCTAGGCAGCATTTTCAAAATTATTTGAGAAATATTATTTGCTATTACAACAACATAGCTCAACCTATATCTAAGGACATTCAGTGGCTGTCCTGTGAGATATAAATACCTAGAATAGGTTTCTTGGAAACAGGATTTAATATTAAAGTGTTGAAGTCCTAGTACCATTATTTGGGAGATAAGAAGAACCTTCATCGCATTCCGGTTTTAAGCAAAAACGAATTGGTTTAAATTTACACACTTAGTTCTTTTTGATTTATCATATCAGAAACCGGTTGCAAAAATACGAGTCCATTAGCTGGAATGACCGCTAATAAATTTAATATCATATTTTCGCAAAACCTATTTGTTAAATGCATATTTGGCTAAAGGTACAGATATGATACTATTTACATAAATATTTAAATTGTATGGAAACCTCTTTATTGGTGAAATAGATATTATAAACCAACGTAAATTACCTTCATTTTTAATGTTGTATTTTGGTAAATACTTTTTTATTTGCTTTTTGGACGCCATCATTTGGGTACTGCACTGACTTGTACATTATTTTATTCAGCAATATTAAAAATATCCATTTCTATTTAAAGTTTATTATAGCTTAGCTAGTCTGTTGTCCACCTGTGTGTTCATCATTAATTTCCGTGATGGTCAATGAATTGTTAAATTCACTGGCTACATTTTCAAACTCATCAGGCCCCGCTTCTGCGTCATGAAATTGCTCGTCTGGATTAGTAACGCCAAGTTCTTTTAATATGCCGCGTAAACGACGAATTTCACGATGTGCATCGTCTAACTCGTGCTCCATATTTTCAAAAGTTTCCGTCGGTATGGGTTTATCACCTAATTCCTCGCGTATAAAATCTAACGGATTATCTGGCCTCACGCCAGCTTGTAATAATTTTTTAAAAATGTCATTAAGCTTGTCGGTTATACCGCACTCGCGCAGATATGCATGACGTATATCCTTTTTCGCTTCAGATGAGAGCTCTTCATTTAAAAACACTTCCATAATTTTATTTTATTAAATAAACTAAATTAAAAACTTCTTTGATCGATGCTGCAAAAATGTGATGAGGTTAAAAAATTTAAGAAAATAACTGTAAATATATGACAATGCTGAATTGTCAAAAAGTGCAAGTCGAACAGTGTTGGGCAATGCATTTTATAAAACAAAGTCAGAATTATGTAAGGTGTACACTTACCTGTTGGAATAGATTTGATTTTAATCAATCATTCACACTACACATGATTAATTTTATTTGGTCAAATGATTACATACTTTAGACAAGTTATACTTTTGTAACAATTTTATCTATTGCAACACTTTTCAAATCTTATAGATGCGCTCTAATGTACTTACTTACAATATGTTGGTTATATATTATATGTGTGAATTTGTAACTCTTTTAGCGAATGTAAGTGCTTGCAGCAATTTACAAATATTTCAGCTTTTGTAACATATGCTTATATAATAATTAAACATATATTTTCTATACGTATAAACTAAAATTGGGTTTATACAACTGACTACTGCTCTGATAGTGATTTCTTTATTTGTTTATTTTTTGTGAACTTAGAAATGTATGAATAATATATAGATGATCGTGCTCAGACATTACTGAATAATTTTTTTTTTTATTTTATACTGCGAAAAAGTGTATGGTTACTAAAATGTGCTTACTTATGTATACTTGTAAATTACTTGTATAATAGAATTTATATTGTAGGTACATAAAAGGTTCAGCAAACATACATATGTTTATGAAATACTATGGGCCCTTCCAATAATCGTTGAATGTAACAAACATTTTGAATATAAATTCATTCAATAGTATGCTTACTTCACACATTTTATTTGGTCTTTTTTAGCTTTGTGTGTCATATATTATTTATAAAATATAGTTTATTATTTAAAATTATTGACCCATCCGCATTTTAGGTTTCATTTATGGTACGTTTTAACATTTTTTGGAACGGAACAAATACAATTCACTATCATTTTGTTTAATGGGAAGGCCCGAAGTATTCTCTTCATATCATTTATGATCATTATATACTTTTATTATTACATTTCACTTCGTTTTATTTATTCTTATAAAGTAAACTACATACGAATATTTATTAAATTGATATTGTGTTTATTGTTGTTGTCGTCATAGAATATTCCTTAAATATGTCTCGAATAAAGCATTGTCCATTATCTGCGGGCCATTCATTCTAATATACATATGGTATATTATACTATATAAATAATCCCTAATTAAATATAAAAAATGTGTGTTTCATATATATTCATGTACGTCTATGTATGATAACGCAGAAGTATATGTACGCTTTTCAATAACTATATTACAATGAAAACATCATAAATACATACAAAGTTCTTTTAGTTCCTTAATTAAAACATTACTAAAGTTTTAACAAAATTTCATAAAAGGACTCATACAAAAATAATCAAATGTCAATATGAAATTCTCTGGTTGAAACAGCGCTCATATTACGTAAAGTCAATCTTTTAGCGGCATTTCGAATGGGAATGGGTTTTAATAAAAAACTTTAGCCATTTTGTTTCTAGTTTTTATAAATTCTGTAGATTTGTAATAATTTTCCAATTTTACAATTAGTGCCACACAATACACGCTTTTTGGTGTGGATAAAATGAAAAAAATTAATATAAATGAAGTGTTTTTAATATTTATTATTTGAAAATCAGAAGCATTTTGAAGCTATGTCTTTTCTAAATCAAAGTTTAAATAGTCATTAAAATATACAGTGGCTGAAAACGAACGAATGGATTTGATGGTGAAAATCGACTGTCCCAGTTTTTTGTCTTTGGGACGATGGTTGCTATGAGAGTCGCATTATGAAAGTTCTTTCCAAAGCGGGTTTTAATTGATCGGATCTTTCTAACTATGCCAAATACATCCTTTAATTTTAAGCATTAATGTTTACTAGACCTTATATAAACATGCATGTTCTTTGTATTATTTCAATATGAGCACTTATTTGATAGTTTGGATTACTATATTACCATAAAAATATTATCGACTTAAATAAAATAAAATATAAACGAAAACTATAATGACCAACTAAAAAGATAAAATATAAAAATTTGTCATTTGCAGACTTTCACGTCCCACTGCATGTACGTACTGTGGCTCCCTTGCATAATCAGACTGGAGTCTAATATTAATATTCTCCAAACATAAAAACAAAAGAGAAGAATGTGTTGTTTTCGCTTTTATTTACACTTCATAATTCTATCAAACAACAAATATCCCTTATGATAATTTAATTTGCTTAGAAAAACATAAATAACTCAATTTTCTGCTGTTTTTAAAATGGCTCTAAAAGGAAAGCAAACTTTCTTGTAAGGCAACAAAAATAAAATTTAATGGCGAAGATAAAACCATGCGTGAAATCGCTGAATTGATAGGAAGAAGTATATTCACAGTGCATGATGATCAAGAGGTTCTACGACGAGCTCAGATTTGCCAAAGAAGCAGAGAAGGTCACTGTAAGACATTATCTGTACGAGAAGAGGGTCCTTTCTAAAGAGAGTCACAAAAGACCCTTTCAAAACGGCAAAATAACTGAAATATTATTTCAATATTCGAAATAAAAAAGATTTTTGCCTAAATATTGTTCGTAATACGTACAAATACGACCACTATGGTAGAATTGCCAGAAAAAAACTTTCAATAGCTTTTCAAATAATACCAAAAAGCTGCGAAATGCAAAAGAGTATTTATTAAACTCCGAAGCCTTTTGGAATCATGTACTTCCAGTGCAGTTGTGTACGGAGAATTTGGGTAGCATGAAAAATGTTGCTTTCTCTACTAAGACAATCGACAAACAGCGAAAAGAAGAAACGACTGGCGCGCTGATGTTAAGTCCGCTATAAAGGCGTAAGAGTTGTCTACGTCAATTAAAAAAAAAAAAAAAACTAAGACAACGACCGCAAGCACAAATCGAGTGGTGCAAGGCTTTGGTTGATACACAACTACCCCAAAATAATACAAACACCAGCGCAGAACCCTGACCTCAATTTAATGGAACATTTGTTGGAGGAATTAGCTAGTTTGGAATTCCTTTGAGTCAGCGCTACATCAAAATTTGGTCAAATCTGTTTCAACGTGATTACAAGCTTTTCTGGATAATAAGGGATATGCAACTAAGCTCCTTTGTTTTATATATGTATGTATTTAGTGGCGCTATTTTCTCTTGTCTGATTATTCGTTGAGCACAAAAAATTTAATTGTTTTCGTGTTTTTGTAAATAAAAGCGAAATACTACACATTATTATTTTTATATTTGAAGCCCTCTAATGTTAGAAAAATTCCCGTCCAATTATGCGATAGAGCCATTGTGTATACATGTATAGGATCGGCATTTGAGCTCGCTCTCGCAGTATGCTAGAGTGCACATACTTATGCTGAATTAATATTATACACATGTATGTTTATAATTTTGCACAACTACAAACTACCGTTAGAAATAAGTAGACCTGCAACTAATTGCACCTTACATTACCGCCTAATAATGCAACACTCAACACTTTGCTTTTTTTTTTTTTTTGATAGCTTTACAGTATTTTTACAATGTTTCATGACATTTGCCAAGAAGTTGATAGTTTTTCTATGTTTTTTTTACTTAATGCTTAAAATAGTATAGTTTTTGAGTAGAGCAGTTTAAATAGGTATTTTTTGTATTGTATGCTGTTCGTTTTGTACATTCAAAAGATTTGTCTTTGCTTATGCTTCATTTGTTAAAAAAAAAAAAAAAAATTAATTAAAGTGGCAATTGGTACATAGAGTGTTTGTAACCGGCCCGCTGGCATATGCTTGGTAACGGGCATGTGCTCCCTTATTTACCTTAAAACTGCATACATATGTATGTACTTTTGTAAAGTGGTTACTTGAGTGCATGATACGAGTACGGTTTTTATTATTTTATGTTGTTTCGAGGATATGCCAAGTGTTTTGCCAACGATATATACGTACATGTAAGCAGTAGTTCCTCCAACAACGCCATCTTCACCTTCAATTCATCCGGCAAATGCTGCTCCTAGTCGCGGGCCTGCTTATGGCACTCTTATGTCGCTATTGAGCGAAGATGGTGCTTCATCGGGACTGGGTGAATCGTCGCCGTGTGGACGTATGCGAACTACGGCACGCCTAGTATCCTCATCACGCTGTGGCATATACAGACCGGATGGGCCTGAATAGCAGGTTGTATTGTTACCGGATAGGCGCAACTTTTCCGTTTCACCATTTGTGCTTTCAGTGAACAGTTGACCCAGATTGAGTTGTGGTATATCATAGAAGATCGTCAGCACAAACATCATTGCAATGAGACCTATGGAGTGTGTGAAATTTTTAATACATACATATTATATATTATTTGTTTTTATAGTGCATATGTATGTGCGAATGTAAATTTGTATTTATATAATATAATTGTTTACGCACCACAAATCAAATAACCGCTTATAAATATTTTGTACATGGAACGATTGCCAATGGTCACACCTTCGCCAGGTATATAATCACCTAAGCCAATAGTTGTCAATGAGATGAAACAATAGTAGAAAGCGTCCAAAGCACCCCAGGCGGGTTCAATGAAAGCAAAAACTGCGGTTGGTATAGCAAAGAATAAGACGATAACAAGCGTAGCTGAAATAAGAAAATCGACACTCAATTACAGCTCTGTCCAGCAAATTAAAAGATTACACTCCACCGCATGTCGCACTTACCCACAATGCTTAGATGCAGTAGTCGTATGTTGAAGGGCTGATAGAGATGACCCAATTTCGAATTCAAAGTGCCCAACAACCAGCTTGCCGGCACCAACAGCCGCTCCACCATCGCACTCAATAGCACCAACGTGAGTGGTATACCAATGGCCGCATAAATTATGCAAAATATTTTCCCCGTTTGGCTAAGTGGCGTTACATGACCATATCCTGCGCACAGGTAAAATATTTTGAATATAACAATAAGTACATTATAATACGGAGCTCGTATATACTTACATACATAATAAGTGCATTTTATAGACACAAAAATAAATTATACAAGAACAAAGGTGTGTGTGTAGACAAGTGTATTGTCGCTTACCGATTGTTGTTATCACGGTGCTTGAGAAGAAGAATGCCTGACCAAAGCTCCAGTTCATTTCATTTGTTGCATTGCGTAACGGTGATATGCCTCGATCGTTGGCTGTTATCACGGCTTCGAGGAACTCTTCGAGGTCTTCATCTACGTGCAGGCAATATATATGAAATAATTTAATCAATATTCTTTGTATTAATTGAGAATACAAATTTTTAATCGAAATAGCATTAATCGAAGCATTTTATACAGGGTGGTTAATGGGTACATCGTCTCTTTATAAGGAAGATACTGTTGCAAATTTATCGCTGATGGTTCGAGGCGGAATCTTTAAGCTTTTTTATATTCAGTAACTAACCTCCAGAGATGATCTAATGGCTGATGCCCAGAGCATACTAAAATTGTGGAGGGAACACTTCTCCAGCCTGCAAAATGGCAGTACCGGTATAACAACAGGAGATGGCGAACCCGATTCCCCCAATTGATTACGATGGAGCAGACGTTTTATTGCCCGACCACGAGGAAGTTCGAATAGCAACGAGTCTGTAGGAAAAAAAGAACTGATAAAAAGCATACATCAGCTTCTTTGTAGAATATAGTCGGATGTAAGCATGTCCGACGATTGGAATTGCAGTGTGCTCTGCCCAATCCATAAGAAACTAGACCCCACAATCTGCGCCAACTACCTTGAGATAGGCATCCTAAACATTGCATGTAAGGTTATATCGAGTGATTGACTGAACTGGACCTTATCAATGTGTTTTCAAGGTTGGAAAATCAACAATTGACGAGATATTTACCATGGGCTAAAGATTAGAAAATACTTGTGAAAAAAGGATTGACCCCTCTTCGCCGATTTCAAAGCTGCTTTCGACAGCACGAAAAGGAGCTGCCTTTATGCCGATATGTTTGTTTTTGGTATATCCGCCAAACTAATACGGCTGCATAATTAGACGTTGAACAATACCAAAAGCTCCTACAGGATCGGGAAATAGCTCTCCGAGGCGTTCGATACCAAATGATTTTTCAGAAAAGGGCGGCTTCTTCAATCAACTGCTGGAGAAAACAATTCGAGCTACAGAATTAAATTGAGAAAGTTCAATCTTTACAACTGCTGGCGTACGCCAAAGACATCGATATCTTTGGCCATGACAACCGTGCGGTTTGTTCTGCATTCTCCAGACTGGATAAGGAAGCGAAACAAATGGATCTGGTAGTAAGCGAGGGCAAGACAAAATAGCTCCTGTCATCAAACAAACAGTTGTCGCAACTGAGACTTGGCTCTCACGTCACTGTTGACACTCAAAACGGCGAAATCGAAAATTTCCGCTATCTTGGAACCAGCATCAATATCAACAATAATATCAGCCTTGAAATCAAACGCAGAATCACTTTTGCAAACAGGTCTTACTTTGGTCGGAGTAGGCAATTTAAAAAGTAAAGTCCTCGACGAACAAAGACCAAACTCTGTAAGTCCCTCATTATTCCCATCCTGCTATATTTTGCAGGCGCGTGGAGAGCTTATGAGTCGATGAGTTTTCGAGAGAAAGGTTTTGCGAAAGGTTTATGGTAGTGAGTTATACGGCGACACGACCTAGTTAAACGAATAAAGAGAAAGCGGCTGATCTGGCTGGGTCCAGATGGAAGAAGGTCTTCGATTCTGTACCCGGCGGGGGGAACAGTCTGGAATTGGTATCTCGAATTGGCGCCAAAAAGCAAAAATAAAAAGCGACTGGAGTTCTATAGTTATCTCGACTATAACCGCGTAAGCGGTGTCTACGCGAGTAAAAAAGCAGAAAATATGCTATAGTGACTCTATCTGAAGACTTTCTTCGGAGATTGCAGCATTAACTTGTATTTCAGCAACATTCTATATTGATCCGATCAAACCATTTCCTCGGACACTGTCGACGATCGCTCAGTTTGTATAACAGCTATATGATATAGTGGTCCGACTTCGGCGGTTTCGACAAATGGTAAGATTGGGATGGGTTCAAAATTCGATACCTCAAAAACTGAGCTCTTAGTGCATTCAGATAATTTTTATATGTAATTAATATACCCTCTGACGCTTCCTTTTGGGTATTAAAACATCGTAGCATACTTTATATACTTTCTTCAGGATTTAAAAATGAATCTTTGACTGTACGCTCATTATAGAATCGTAAACTATGCATTTCATCAAATGATGATCTTTAAAAAAGTTGTTGTGTATGAGCCAAAGAATATTTCTAAGTTGATATGATTAATTTTTGACTTATGAACAAAATGAATGAAATGACGCAAAATTAATTGAATATTTATGTAATGTCTTATTTTTTCGATCTATTATTCTGGTATCAAATCATACATTCTCTAGAGCAGTAAGAAGTTGCCCTCCTTAACTACATATATCTACATACATTTTCGTCATCTTTTGGGAGTTGAGCTTCCACAAATAGGAATGTGCAAAAGACAAATAATTTCACATAAATAAAATTTACCCAATATTTGTGGATACTTCAGCAGGAATTCGGTGCGTTGTTGCCACACAGCGCTACGCAATGACTCCTCCATCGGCGTTTCGGCAATTTGAAAGCAAACACTACCGATTGCTAAGTACACACAATAAAAGAGTGCGAAGCAAAATAAACGCAAATTTTCCTTGCGCATATAGGAGTTGCCGCACTTTTTGGCGACACCACTGCCACACATAGTAGCATAGGACTCGTGGTTCAGGTTGGCATAACTTGGCGTACATGAGGGACCAGGCAACAACACGATGGAGCCGAGGCTAATGCCATTATTGAGACTGAGCGTAGATTGATTATGTGAAGCGTGCGACGTTGATTGCTGTTGGGACAGGCTGCTTAAAGGTGCTGCCGGCGTGTTGGAATTTTTCGGTGGCGTTACATTTAATGCCGTATCTGAGATTGAGAAAATACGAGTGGTCTGCTGCTTTTGTTGACCAAACTGCGTTGGCGCCGCTGCCCGTGTTGTTTGACCCTCGGCGCGTACAAGGACGTTCGGCAGATATTCCTCTAATGATTGATTGCACTTGTCCAGATCCTCGTAGCCATTGCGGCGGCGAAATGCTGTCGTCGGCAACATCACACATTCAAGTGCTGCGGGCCACGGTGTGAGGCAGTATGTAAAGCAGGGAAAGCACGTGCCACGCCAATATAAACAGTACTTAAACGATTTAACACTTTATTGACGCACTGTTTTTTTTTCTACTCTACCTTCGCTCATAAGCGTATTTGCAGAAGTGCTGTAAAGTGTGCTCGTTCGTCTAAGTAAGTGAGTTTACTTAGTTACACATTACTTGACAGCAGCGGATGCGATTTATGTATGTTTTACCGTTGCGCAAAATCACATCAATGTCACTTCATTCAAAAATTCGATTTACACACGTACGCGCAGTTTTCATGAAAAATGATTTGCATTGTTGGAAAATGCCAGACGCCCTATATATGTTTGTATGTGCGTTCACCACTTTTGATTGTAATTCTTAACTTGCGATCTGCTTGTTAATCAAGCTCAGCAGTCTTTCACTCATCAACTGAATTCTTAAATCTGAGATTTGAAACACGAGCTGATTACTTTAGTTGCAAATGCATTCATACATACATACACACGTACATACATATATGCATACATAATATGTATATAATACATACATATCTATATAAATACAAAATTTTGCTGCGCGAAGCACTTTGTCGCTTTATTTATATGCTCAGAAGCATATGCATATGCATTTGCATGTCAAAATATTCAAATATGAATACTTGCAGACTTATCTAACAGATGAGTGAAGATGCCTTAATTGTAGCTTGCCGTTTGAATCATATCAATATACTCTTCTTTAGATAATACAAATTTAAACTCATTAGCATTTCATATTTATATCTCCTTTAAAAAGTAACGGGTGATCCAAATAGAAATAATAGCCTTTTTTTTGGCAGATCACAAATGAGTCGTGTCAAGCTGTCAGGTTATTTTAGTTCAACATTCTCTGGCATTTAATCATGGAAAAACTTGAATCTGAACAACCTTTATAAATCATTAAACTTTATTACGGAAATTCACGTTCCATAAAGAATGTGTTTCGCGCGCTTCGCTCATCTTATGGTCAATATAAATGGCTTACCATCACCCATATTGAGACTCAGCATTTATTATTGGATAATTTTCGAGCAAATATATCACGTCCAGAACGCAGTGATAAAAATATAGCAGCCATAGCTGAGAATGTACACGAAGGGGTTTGTAAACAAGCAAAATTGCCGCAATTGGGACAAAGAGCAACGTAAAGAGATTCATGGCTGCCATTTCACTCGGAAAAAACAACGGTTTGATGTGGTTTGTGAACCGTCAATGGTGACCATTATCGCGCTGTTCGATGCCTGAAAGTGAAGCTCGTGATCTCGTGGCTTCAAGACGGCGCCGCTTCCCACACAGCGCATCAATCAATGAATTTGTAGAGAGAACACTTGGGTGAGCGGATAATTTCACGTGTTGGGGCAGTCGATTAGTCACAGAGATCATCTGGCCAATTACGCATGTCATCGCCAGTTACCAGTCGCAATGCTCGAACGAGTCATCGAAAATTGGACGGATCCCCAACTGAGACTTAGCCTTGAAAGGGATAATCTTCAAAAAATAAATGCCAAAACTGTTCCTTCGAATGATAATAAATATTTTCCATTAAATTTGAAATTTCTGTGCCTTTTTTTATGTAGGGAACCTCGAAATACCCTTACTACCCTAATTACCCTTTATTTAGGAAATGGCTAATATCACGTAGAATAGAACAACATTATAGTGGTTACAATTACTTGTTATTTTCGGCAGTTTAGATGAAGAAAGTAAGCTAATATCGTAGTTTTAAAAAAACTTTTTTATCAATTTCTTATCCATCATAAATTTGAAAATTTATGAAATCAGTATTTAAAATTCTCAAAACACGCCTTTTTCTACTAGTCAACATAAGTTTCAACGGATAATATCCGCAATTGTAAGAGTGCTTGGGGAGGCGCAACTAAAGAGGAACTTCCTTCTATGGCAAAAGGTTTTATCATAACACTTTATGGCGTTTTATTGAAAAACGAGTTTGCTTGAAATTTTGTGTTTCCAATGGAGTTATTACTACGAAATTTTTTTGAAAATGTTGCAGAAGTACTTTTGGTGTTGGTGTTTGCGTTTGGGTGGCACAAAGTATTTAGGGAAGGTCTTGAAGTCGGCCCAAACTTCTCTATACGAATCATCCATCCACCTCATTTAATGATGATACCATCGAAAAAGAGGCAAAATTTTGGGTATACAGCGTGTAAATGCTAGACTCGTACCAAGTCTTAAAGTTTGTAACACATTGTCGATTTATTCAAATAAGAGATGATTGGCAACGTATCTGAGGATAATACTTTTAACAAACACATTATTCCTAATGACTAGAACATATGTATTAGCTTAAATGAAGCCTGTTTGAAGCTGACAATAAATAATTGTAATAGAAGTGGTAGACGAGTTTTTTTGGTTAGACAAATTTAATCGGTAAACTAAAAGACGGTAAATTACCCATAAGCGAACCTCTATTTTCAGTGAGTTGGAACATAATTTTTTTAACGAAGAGAGTAGAGAATACGTAGAAGTTGTATTAGTAATACTCGAGTAACTCACTAACCGAAGATTCTTGAAACTAAAAAAAAAGGAAATATACTAGAAGTTATGGTGAACTAATCGTCGTTGGCGGAAGACTAAATTGATGTATGAAAATGTTAACTTCGGCTGCACAAAAGCTGGAATACCCTTATAGCAATTCTACGCATAACTTAATTCTAAAACTTGACAGGCCTATGGTTTGCATCTAACGATCCAACGCTCTTCAAGTCGAATTAAGGTTTCTTAACATAAGAAATATCTTATATCTGTGTCTTATGAAGAGCCTTTTCTTGACATTGATCGATCAGTTTGAACGGCAGCTATATTTCAAAAGCTGAGCAACTAATTTGCGACGAACATGGCTAATCACCTCAACTAACCTCGTTGATCATATTTATATACTTAAATGGGTCTCTAGCTATTTTCTGGATGTTAGAAACCTCGTGCTAAACTTGATATTCATCAGCACATAAAAAGTTACAAAATTGTGTATAGTTAAATACAAGCTTTTAGTAATATTGCTGTAGCGGTAGAAAATATTCCTTGAATAGGAGGAGGAGGAATTTGAGTTATGTTGCTTAACAGTTAATAACAGGCCTCGGCCGGACAAAAATTTGAATCCATTCTGATGACATTGATTCGACTTTGGTGGGAACGAAGAAGGTCGTTCAATACAAGGTGCGTTTCCAAGTAAACAGGACTTTTTGAATCTAGCACCCCTGGTAGCGCCATCTATGTGGTGCGTTAGAATCTGCTGAGAATTTCATGACATTTCATAGATATGAAGTGAAGTTATTACGTTATAAGTGTCAGTATGTTTGTGTCTTCGGTGCGAAAATAAGCTTCGAACAAAGAGTCAACAATCAATTTTGTTTTACAATTGGTAAAACTTTTACCGAAACGTTTCAATTGATGAAACAAGTYTATGGCGGCGATTTGCCTATCCCGTAGCAGAGTGCACGAGAGGTTTTAACGTTTTTAAAGTGGTCGCGAGGACATAAATGACAATCAATGTGGGCCGATCAAAATCCGTCATCACCGGAAATTCCATCGAAATTGTGCGTGTACTCTTATTCATCAAAAAACCGCCGAAATCATCATTGAAATTCATGGAAATGGAATTGAACATCTCCTAAACATCGACTGATCACATTTTGAACGAACATTTGAGCTTACGAAAGGTGTGTGCACGGTTTGTTCCGCACAAATTGACTGACGACCAAAACATTTGTTCTGTTTTTGTTTTTTAAGTCCTGTTTACTTTGGAATGCACCTTGTATAGTGGCATGCGGGTGCGTATGAATAATATACGAAGATAAAACGCAAAATTGATCTAAGAAGGCCGCAATTTCATGAAATATCAAAGTATTGAATCATATCTTTCCTTTGATTCATTATATTTGTTAATATGTATGTTTACATTTTTTAAAAATAACACAGTATTTTTCAGTTTGAGCTCAGCAACGTTACTCAAAAATTATTATACTTGCGAGCGCATATTTTTGGAGAATGAAGCGGGCTTTATAATATTAAAGGCGTATTGAGTTTCAAAAAGTTTAAATATGGGTTAAAATTTCGTTATAACTTAGAAAACAACACGATAACAACAATTGGATCCTCTAAAGTTTCATAAGCTCGATTTTTTAGGAACGACTTTTTTTTCCATACACCATGTTTAGTTGGGATATCGGCTATACTTAAGTCACAAGCTTATTTTAGGTATCTTTAAAACCAGTCAAAGTATAGACTGAGCCGGTTGCTATAGTACAATTCGATAAATAACTTCCCCTGTTGCTAGATAATTATGAAACATATACCTCTCTCCCAGCGAGCAAAAGTCTTGCTGTACTTATTAACTGCCTCACTTTATCTTTCTGAATTCAATATTGATCTAAATGAAAAAAAAAAAACATATCAAGCTTATCGTTCATATAGGAACCATATAGTAACCCATTGAAAAGGCGAATTAAAGCATAACAAAATTATAATCAATGTCTCACTTACCGTTTAAGCAAGCGTTATTTTGTAGAAACTGATTTCGTAGACTTTGCACACGCTTCGAAATAGTGTCGATCTTTGGTGCTTCTATCGCTGAAAACATCGCCGCTCCCAGGACTAAAAATAAAATATATCCACCACATAGCAGAAGAAATCTACACTTGCCATTTTTGTTGTTGTTTGTGGAATTCGCACCGGTTTTGGCGCTGACAGGAAAGGCGCCTAAAAGCATGCTGTGAAAAATATAAAATATTAATTTAGCGAAATATTTCGAAAACAACGCTGTATGTAAGAAGGTTAGAATAGCATAGAATATATAACAATATTATAGTATTTATTAGGAAAAAAATTGGCTCAATCTCCAGAGCAATGCAATATCTGCAATTTTTTGCGGTAGTATACATATATAAAATTGCTAATAGTATTGCATACTAAATGCAGTGAAGTTTTCTGACACTTCAAATGTCAATTCCACAAAATACATATGTAAATATATATATCTATCATATCAAACTAATGGCATTTGCTTCCAAAATTAACAAACGACGTCATATGTCATAAACTATAAAAATAGAACTGAAATGAAATGAAAGGTTTTCCAACTAATGACAGCATTTTTAATATATACAAACATACTGTATTCACACCATTTCTCTCTTCAATCATCTGAATAGAAAGTGTAATTAATATATTGATAAATATCATATACACACATCATTTCTAAAAATAACGCGACTTTGATTACATTTTTTTACCGGTGCGAAGCTTTTTGCATCGGGTACTGCAGATTAATTAATTTGAAATTGACTTTTAATAACACAGACGCATTTTGATGAGAATATGTGAGCTGAGATGATATGATGGGATATTAGAATACACCCTGTC